AGAAATTTTAGTATTCATAAACCCAAAATAAAGTGCAGCTTCTGCAATATCCTTTGCCTTGGATGTAGTCCCTTTCACGTTCGCCAATCGTCTCACAAACTCCTCCATCTTCTCCACTCCCCCTTTCGTGGGCAACCCAAAGTTGATACTTGCTTATCAAGGCCCAGCTTTAACGAGAAGATAGAAGAGAGAGGAACCAATTAAGAGAGAAGGATTATCTCCACTCAAGCACTAGACTCCTGGCTTGGAGCTGGGAGAAAAGGATAACCCCCTTTTCATGATCTCCTTAGAGCGCGATAACAAAGTACAAATAGTATTGAGACGTTTTGGTTGGAGGCATAAGGATGTAAAGAATTTACTTCCAAACAGAGGCTTTGAGAGAGCATGGAACTATTTTTATTTTGATTATCGGATTGAAACACCCACTAAGGGAGAGTGCAGTTTTTTTTTTTTAAAATTTACCACCTGGATGATGAGCTGTTGCATTGAGCCAATGGGAAGGTGCCGTTCTATCATTGAGTTAATATATCAGCTGAAGTTAACTTTGCCGTTGCTATGATTTGGTAATTTCTTACTGCTATTAAAAGAACTTTCGGATGCCACAGCTTAGCAAAAATTTCCAGACGCAAAATTAAACCTTAACCCTATCCAAATTAGCATGTCATCTTGAGGTATAAATGCAAGAGATAGATTAATGCTTTGGAAAGCAATGGAGAAATTATAAAGGCTGCTCATTAATTCCCTAATTTTGTTGGCAATGAAAAATTTTCACTATCATTAACACTTCATCACAAAACAAGAAAATAAAACCTAAAAAGCATTATAGAGACAATACACAGAAAAGAAAGTAAACATATAACTATCATCAGCAGTTTTAGTAGAGGAAAAGGGGTTGTAACACCCAAATTGAAGGGTAAGACCTATCTACTAAAGCTTTAGTAAGCCAAATAGCTACTAAGAGTATACTTGGATTAACAATGGCAAAATTGACTTTTGTTTCAATGACTTTTATAAAATTAAGTTGAGGTAAAAGCCAATTAGTGTAATGTGATTTATGTCTGAATTGATATTTATAAAAAGTTAATTGAAAAAATTAAAACTTGCATGGATGATTAACTAAAAGAGTAAGTTTAAATGTAAAAGAACATGGATTTCATTGAATACTAGTATTTTATATTATATGATTTTAACGTGATAATTGTTAAAAAAATTGAAATTATAATTATAAAATAAAAATATTTGTTAGTGAGAAAATTGTAGTGAGGATTTTAAGTTGGTAAAAAGGGTTTAAATTCAAGGGTTTGTATAAAAATTTAATTTGCAAAGTGCCGCTACCTTGTGTGTATAAAAATTTATTAAGTCTTTCTCACCAATTAAAATTTTAATGAAGACTTTTTTCCAATTTTCTCTAAATTTATTATTTAATTTTTTTCTTTCTTTTGATACTTTTATACACAGAGTATATAATTATTGAATATTTTTGGAGTAAATTTTTTGTATTTTTATTAAAGTAAAGTAAGACCTACCTTTAAGACACTCCTCTTTCATCTCATGATCATCTTTTTTTCTCTCCGCATTCTAGAAGCCAAAAGCTCTTTTCATTAGTGTTGAAATGCACCCAACTTTTGCTCTAGAAGTTGGTTGGGCTAAAAGCCCATCCAAACAATCCACAATATCTAAGGGTGTGTTTAGATGGACGGTGACAAAACTATTGACTTCTATTCTAACTGACTTTTGTAAATAAAGTTAGAGTAAAAGTCAGTTGGTGTAATGTGATTTATGTTTGGATAGGTGCTTAAAAGTCAATTGAAAAAGTTAAAAGTTTGTTTAAATGATTAATAAAAAAGTGAGTTTAGTTGTAAAATACTGAAAATGATATTGATTTTATTAAATACTAGTGTTTGATATTTTATATTTTTAATGTGATAATAGTTAAAAAAATACCTAAAATTATTATGATAAAATAAAATAGTTTATTTGTAAAATTATAAAATAAAAATATTTGTTACCGAGAAAAATTTGAAAACATATTATAGATAATTAATTAAATATATATAATAAACAAAGGGAAAATGACAAATATAGACCTCGAATTACCAAAATTACACAAAGTCACCTGAATAAGCAAAATTACCATGAAAGACCCAGTCTCATATTGTAAATATGAAATCTTAGTGAAATGTCTAAAATGCCCATTAGCCAAGTTGTGATATGGTCTACTGAAATTGTCATTTGCTAAAGTAAACTTGTTATTTCCCATAGTTAACTTGTTATTTGAGATACTTTCAACCAAATTGTGATTTGGTCTACTGAAGTTGTCATTTATTAAAGTGAACTTGTCATTTTTTTATAGTCAACTTGTCATTTGACTGAGGGGCATTTCAGATATTTTGCCAAGATTTCATATTTGTAATATGAAACTGGGTCCTTCATGGTAGGGTCGCCTCACTGGTTGCATTCCCAACACCTTACTTATTAAGGGGCACTCGAGCTTTCACTAACCCCTGGAACCAAATCTCAATCTATTTCACTTGGGTAGAACGTTTTTATCTCAACCGCCCAATCAGGATTTGGGATTGGGAGAATGACTGGTACGTGCTTGATGGAAGAACTGCCTTTGCTTGCTTTGCCTATAAAGGTGACTTTTGTGTAATTTTGATAATTCAGAGATTTTTATTTGTGATTTTCTCATAAACAAACATGAATATAAATTAAAATTCATTTATTCCCTAATTAAAGTTACCAAGGGATGCCCATTAGAGAGCATAATAGCCATTGGAATTAGGTATAGAAACTGAGGCACCTTCTTATTCCACAAACCACCTCAATTTCTCAAAGTTCCCACAAGAACAGGCAGAAAACACGTCTACCACGGGAGGTATATCAGGAATTTTTGGGGTTTTAGACTCCAGTGACACCACCTCGATCTTCGACGAACCCATTTGGGCTATAGCATTCGACAGGAAAAAAAACAAAATTTCAAAAGCTATTAGGATTAAGGGTTTTCTGGGCAAGGATCAAGATGAAACCTAACTAGTGATTGCTTGCAGGGAGAAGGAGAAAGAGAGAGAAGAATTTAGAATCTGTTGGGGGGTCATAGAAGCTTCTATTCATAACATCCCCAAACGCCAGTGAGAGTGACGAATGGAGAGTTGAAGTGCTAGGAGTGAGGGAGGGAGAACCATGGCTGAATGCTTTCTGTCTGAGCAGCACGAGCACGCTTTCTGTTTGAAGAGGAGAAGAGCTCGGTCAAATATGAGGGGTAAATTTGATAGGTGAAAATTTCAATGCTCACTAATGCAATTTTAACACTAGATTGCATTTTTAAACGGTCCATAAGTTACTTTGCTTAGCATTTCTGTCGAATGCCATTTTCCTCCATAAATCAGTTAGTATAGAAGCCCATCCAAGCAACTAATTATACCTAAATAAGTACAAATCTTAGTTTCACACTTTCCAATGCGCTTTTACTATCACCAACGGCAATCCAAATTAGCCTGAATAAGTTTCAAACTTCAGTTTCACAAATTTCAAGACACTTTTACAACTTCAAATGACAATCCAAACGTGTCCTAAATTGCTTGCCTTGAGAATCCAAACACAAGAATGGTTCTTGATGAATTTTCCAAGACCAATACATTCTCAAGGAGGAGATCACATCTCCACTGAGGAGACATGCATTGTTGATTGACACAATTGATGAGCATTTGATTTTCCAATTTAAATTAGACAATGCTCAGATAAGTAACTAAAACAGAAATCAAAGCTTCATCTGACGTAGGAGTACCAACTAGAGGCACTTCTCTCGTCAATAGGGACCCCATCCTTTCCGTAGTTTCCTTCTCAAGGGTTCCTGCTTTTCAGCAACAAAAGAAGCCGATTAACTAGTGGAGATAGATCCTTTAATGAATGAAGAAGATGGGTCTATTGTTCTAAATTCCCCATTTGTAACGAGTAGAATTTCATCCAGAAGGCAACATGATATCTTCAACCTTATTAATTGATGTAGCGATGCGTGAAATTTTCTAATATTTCAACCAAAAATAAAATGAAATTGTGCATACCATGCCTAGTTGCCTAGCGTGCTCAGTTAGCTCGGCCTAGACCCACGGAAGAAACAAAACCAAAGGACAAACGAGAAGGCTTGGGCAAAGTTATGGGCGTCACTTGGGGCCTACCCATCTCGGCTCGGATATATGCTAATATGTATATGTTATTTTTAAATTTTTTTTATCTTGGTGCATTATTATAAAAAGACAATAGTGAGGATCATTTGAAATTTATTGGAGATTATTTACTCTTTGAATCTTTGGAAAAAAATTTATATTTCTCATAAAAATTTGGTCTTACCCTTTGAAATTTGTAAAAAAAAAAGGAAGTTACGTATTACACAAAATGCTTGATGTTACCAACAAGGATTATGTTTAGTGAAAGGAGTTAATTTCTCATAACATGATAAATTAAGGTTTAAATTTTTATTAGAAGAAGTACTTATATTTAGTATCCATGAGCATTGCTTGTATTCAAAAAAGGGCTTGGCTTTTGGGGGAAATGAACGACTTGTCGTTTGGATCGTCTGAAGACATTTTTTTTCTTGGCCTGGCCTGAAACTCTAAAGGCTGACTATAAGGCTCCCCAAGCGCATAATGTGGTTTTCTTTTCTTCAAGATTAGACACCAATAGGATAGGTCTAATAGAAAGGGCTAATTTATCACATACAATGTGATGGATCAAGATTCAAATTCCTATTGGAAAAGATACTTACATTAAATGTCTGACAGTGTTTCGAATAAAATTATCTCAAATAGAAGAATACCTATATTTTAAGAAGAAAAAAAAAAAAAAAAAGATCAGACGGTCCCGACCAATCCCCATCAGCAAGATCCGGGGATGCGCATCGTCAAGGTCGAAGGACAAGTAAAGTATGAGGCCGTGCCGCCCACTCTAAAAAGAATAAAAAAATACATATATAAATGAAAAAAAAAAATAAAAAGCGACTCTAGCAGAGAGAGAGAAAGACAGAGACGAGAGAGAGAGAGGCAAGGGACGGTCCGTAGCTGATATTAGTTGTTTGGTTGCCAAGGAAAGTATCGGAGGAAACGCCAGACAATGATGATGAAGTTAATGGGACCTTCACCTCCTCGATTCAGTTTATATGTTCGTCTTTGAAATGGGTGGAGCAGCAATCCCCAACTACTTCTTCCATCTACCTTGCTGTGCGTTGTTGAGTCGCTGCTTTCACTTGGGATCCAAGTCTGCATCACCATCACCATCAACAACAGCCACGTCTTCTTCATCTTCTTCCTTATTGCGCTTGTTACAGCGCTCTTCACGACCATGATCCTCTGCCTCCTACGCTCTCTGGGATCTCAATCGCAGATCCACCTTTCTTTTCACTGCCGCTTTCCAGATTCAAGACCGCCCCCTTATTGCTTTTTCTCATGGACCCCGCTGCCTCTCGTCCAGCTGTAGTCTTAGATAATGGCACCGGGTAAATTTTTCTTCTCCTTCTCTGTCTCAGTTTAGTTTCTTTTCCTTTGTAGAAATGAAGGGGTACGACGTGTTTGTCGAATTGCCTCGATTTGATTTTCCTGTTTAAGGGTGCAATTGCCCGGATGCAAGTGTCTCTAGGCTCGATTTTTGATCGTGTTGATTAATAAAGCTAGGTCAATGTAGGGTTTCCCCTGAAACTGGAAGTGATCTTTCTTTGCAGGTATACTAAGATGGGGTTCGCCGGTAACGTTGAACCTTGTTTTATTGCACCGACAGTGGTTGCTGTTAACGAGTCATTCCTTAATCAATCTAGAAGTTCTTCCAAGGCCAATTGGCTTGCGCAGCACAATGCGGGAGTCATGGCTGATCTCGATTTCTTCATCGGGGACGAGGCACTCTCCAAGTCTCGATCTAGTAGTACTTACAATCTTAGTTACCCAATTCAGCATGGCCAGGTTGAAAATTGGGATGCCATGGAGCGATTCTGGCAGCAATGCATTTTTAATTATTTGAGATGTGATCCGGAGGATCACTATTTTCTCTTGACCGAGAGTCCACTGACAGCACCTGAGAGTCGCGAGTATACTGGTGAAATCATGTTCGAGACGTTTAATGTACCTGGACTTTACATAGCCGTAAATTCCGTGCTTGCTCTTGCCGCTGGCTACACAACATCCAAGGTTGGTATTTGTGTTCCAGATTTTGTGTATATTCGTAGAATTGAATGTTGACTTTTGATAAGTTCAATTGGTGAAGTTTCCACGAAGTCTATTAAGGTCGCCGCAAGGAACGGCTGTGCTAGTTAGCTTAGCAGCTTTACCCCAATTCCATGAGTGATGGGACTCTATACGCCCACTTAGTTGAGGTTTCCGAAAGTCCCTTATGGCCGTAGCATCGACAGCTTTGCTAGTTAGTTCGATACCATCACAACAGCTGCATGGAAGATAATGCATCTGATAAACCCCCTGAATTTTGTAGCTTTTCTGGGCTTTCGCTTGAAACTCAAATATATTATACCAGGAAGTTCTTAATTGAGAAGATAGTCGAGGCCTCATTAAGCGTTTAAAATTTTGTGATAACAATAACTAGCCCTACTTTCTGCTTTGTAGCGTAATTCCTAAATGATGAAAATAATAATCTTGTTGTCATTGTCATCCTTTTTAGAAGTGAAAGGTTATTAGCTTGAAAAGAAAATTTTCATCAGACAAGCTTGCCATTTTTGACTCGTCAGTACATAGACGATGAAATATTTCTATAAATCCTATACCACGTGAATGCTTTTTTTTTAATCTATCTATTGTTTTACTAACATTTCCTTTAGCTTATTCAATGTTCGTCTTAGTGTGAGATGACAGGAGTTGTTGTGGATGTTGGAGATGGGGCCACACATGTTGTTCCTGTAGCAGATGGTTATGTTATTGGGAGTAGCATCAAATCAGTTCCGATTGCAGGCAAAGATGTTACTCTTTTTGTCCAGCAGCTCATGCGGGTAGGTAATCTGTGCGCTATAAAATAACTAGAGTATTTTGCTGGTATTTGTTCATAGATATGAATATCTTGTAAATTGTTCCCATAATCTTTAAAGTTTTCATGAATTACCGTTGGACTAGTTAGTGAAACCCAATCACATCTAAGCACCACTCAATGATGAACTGGGCGCATTAGATGTTTGATTGGTAATAAGCAGTACCAAAACAAAAAACACCTATTTGTAGTTAGGTACCTCAGTTGACGTGTTCTGTAAATTTATAACCCGGGGTGTACAAAATACTCATATCCTCTGGGTAATCATAAAATTTATCTTTTTGAGGTGGCTATGGGAACTTAAATGGATGTTTTAAGGGGTCTGGGTTGGGGCACTCTTCCCCAACCTTGTAGTTACTGCGTATAAGTGCGTTTGTAGTATAAATCAATAGAATATATCATAAAAAGTATGAAAAATATCATCCAATTAACAATGTATGACTTTTAAATGGTATTTGTTGTTTTTATATACACAATAATTGTTATTTAGAATATTTTTAATTCTTTCTTGTGACTTTTTATAAACATATATATATTTTTTAAATGGAATTCAACTTGAGAAAAACATTTTCATTTTGAATTTTTGTTTTTGGGGGTAAATGGGTGGGGGTTTGGGGGGGTTCGAGGGCTCAATAGGATAGTAAAATTTCTTATCTCCCTAATATGGGCCCAGGAATGAGACTGTAATACCTTAAACTCCACTGCTATTTATGTGGTAAAACTTATTCATTGATTATGTTGTATATTGTGATACTGGCATTAATAAACCTCTAATGTAATAATTGAGACCCAATTTTGATTCTGCTGTTTGCTAGTTCTGATTTATGGGCTGTCTCTTACATTGTTTCATGTAGGAAAGAGGAGAGAATGTACCACCTGAAGATTCTTTTGAAGTTGCTCGCAAAGTGAAGGAAATGTATTGCTATACCTGTTCTGACATTGTTAAGGTCATCTTGAGTCCCCTCACTGATTTGATTACTTTGACAATAATCATTTCAGGAGTTAGTAGTGCAAATAGTTGTTCTCTTCATTTTTAATACTGGGCATCTGAGAATAGAAGGTTCAAATTTTTTGCATCAATTAGTGTTAATCATTTTTTCTTCCCTTCCTCTTTTAACAATGGCTATGATCTCTCATGTATTCAGGAGTTTAATAAGCATGACAAAGAACCAGCCAAGTACATCAAGCAATGGAGAGGGATCAAACCAAAAACAGGGGCACCATATTCCTGTGATATTGGCTATGAAAGATTTCTGGGTCCTGAGGTTTGTTCTATGGTTTCTTTCTTACATTTTCCCTAATTGAAATCTTTCTATCTAAGGGAAAATTTGATTAAACGCGTATATGTTTGTTGTTGTGCACCTTCTCCTTGCATGATTTTCTCTATTGTAAATATCTAAATCTATCCTATAAGTATTTGGTAAATATATATTTTTTTTATATAAAAATGATTTGCTGATGAAAAGGTGAACAATAGAATAACAGAGGACAAGCATTTTTCTCGAACTGGAAAAAAAGGACCCCTTAACATGAAAGAGCTTTCCCATTGCTTTGAAGATTGACAAGGGACCCCATTTTTTTTTTTTTTTAAAAAAAAAAAGCTGAAATCAGTTAGGAGCCAAGGCAGCATATAAGCAATCTTCCTTTAAAGATGCCACGGTATAATTTCTCATGAAAAAGTCACGTGTGGTGCTAACCGAAGACTCTAGAATGTTTTAAAAGTAGCACACTGCCAAAGAACTTTAAACTGCTTTCTCCTCCCAAAACCTGTAAAATTATCAGTTCAAAAGACCTGAAACTCAGCTGGAGAAACCTAATTCATGTTAATAATGCAAAACAATCTGTTCCAAATCTGCCATTCCATGTTACAATGTAGATACAGTTGATTATGTCTGTAAACTTCTAAAATACATCTAAAAAATATCTGGGGATATAGCCTTATTGGGCTTTTGACGCTAAAGCAAATTGTTTGTATTCATTTTATTAAGGCAGGTCAAAACAAAGCTTTTCACGTTAAAAGGAACGTTAGTTTTCCAGAAATATTTTGACAAATGATGACAACATGTGTTTGGACTTTGAATCAAGGGGGGAAAAAATTAAAGAGGGAATGACTGGTATAGGCACCCAAAGAACCCAAACTCTTACTTCTATTGTGAAAAGAAAGGACATGAAATGGAATGAGGATTTTTTAGAACAAAGCAAGATCGTTAACCAGTGAATGTTTTATTGTATGTTCACTAACACCTACCTTAATTAGAGTGGTTATATGTGCAAAATGTAAAATTTGAAGGGGCATTTACTCTTCACTATTACACCTTTTCCATGGATAGCTATGATTCATTCCGCCATTTACTCAAGAATTGACAGAGATGTAGATCCTTAATGGCAGTAGAAATTTCGTTGGATGATACTTTTAATGTTATTAGATTGGTGGGTTTGTAGAATTTAATACATCCATGTGATTATCATATTTTTTTGTTTTGAAGCATAATATTGGTGAGAATAAAACTACTGCTTTGGAATCTTGCCTTTTGTACTTATGGACTTTCCCTCTGTGATTTCTGCAGGTTTTCTTTAATCCTGAGATATATAGCAGTGATTTTACCACCCCTCTGCCAGTTGTTATTGACAAGTGCATTCAGTCTGCTCCAATTGACACAAGAAGAGCATTATATAAGGTGAAGTATTGCACATGATTTTTCTTAGTGATCTGTGCACAATACACGTGATTTTCTGTTTTGTCATGATTTGTCCGTGACTTTTAAGTCTTCATTAACAGTCTTTTTGTGTTTACGTTGAAATACTCAAGCTGTTTAAGACTCAATGGCTAGTATGGGTGCGTTTCTGTTTTATGGGTGCAATTTCAGCTCTTTGATGTGTTATTTCATCCCAACCAAAATGTTTGTTTTCTGATTCTGTTTAACCAACCACTTTCGTTCATAGGATCTTTTCACCATTGGATTTTGTACCATTTAATCTTGTGTTTTTATTTTATTACAGAATATAGTTTTGTCCGGAGGATCAACCATGTTCAAGGATTTCCACAGGAGGTTACAACGTGATCTGAAGAAAATTGTGGATGCCCGTGTTCTTGCATCTGAAGCACGTCTTGGTGGTGATATAAAAGTAAGAATTTTCATGCATCATTTAATTTATGACTCTCTCTCTCTCTCTCTGTGTCTGTCACACACACGCGCGCGCAAAAACAGTGATTACTTTGATGTATATGTGAAAAGCCTGACCACTATCTATTACTGCTTTGGTGTGGAATTTCATTTTTGATCCTCAGGCGCAACCAGTGGAGGTCAATGTTCTCAGCAATCCCATCCAGAGGTTTGCAGTTTGGTTTGGAGGCTCGGTGCTTGCCTCAACACCTGAGTTCTTTGGGGTATGGAGTACTTGCATCTTTTTTTTTTTTTTTTGGGGGGGGGGAGTCTTCCTCTGGTATATACAAATGTTGTGCCCTCATGACATGGCAATCCAATAATATTTAATTATGTTTAATTTTCTGTTTCAATGACGATTATGTTCTCTGTCTAATGTCCTGTTGGGTACCTGGTGAATTATGCTGCCCTGTTCAAGATAGTCAATTGCAAAAGGTGTACTTATGGTGCTAGACTCATCTAGCTTCTAGGAATGAGAGATGCTGGAAAATCATTTGCCTGAGTAACGCAAGGAGTTAAAGAAGGAAAATGTTGAAAATGTGCTATGTAAATGGAGAATAAATAAACATGAAACTATTATGATAACATTTGACACATAAACCCTAATAATCTCATAAGCAGCTCATTATTTATGGCATCAAGTCATAAGTTTAGAAGTTCGGTATAAAACTCTTAAAACAAAACGGTTACCCAGAAAGGTGTTTCAGGGCGGGCTGGCTGGCGGTCACACATTACCTGATTAGCGAAATGCAAACTACACTAGAAGTTAGAAAAATAATATGGGAAACAGGTCAATGGTTTTATGGTTTTATCCTTTTCGTAAAGCAGTTGTCATGTTTTGAGATGCTTCATAGGTATAATTTATTGGTGAGCTTTTAGGGTTGTATGTCTCGTAAACTAAACCTAGTGTGTCCAAGGCAGTTGAGTCAGGTGCCTAATGGTGCTGCCAAGCCAGTGCCGCAATGAAGGCGCCACAACTAACTGGAGCTGTTGAGGCGAGGTCTCTTTCTGCCTCTCTTTTGACAGCACTAGCCTTGTTGTTGAGAAGCATATCTGTAAAGGCTAAAATACTTCCTCATCTCTCATGACTATGGCTGCTTTTGATCTGAAAATGTTGGATGGTTAGGTTTTTGGAGGCCTTGGTTATACTCTTGTTCAGTATACTTGTTGCATTGATCACCCAAAAAAAAAAAAAAAAAAAAGAAAAAGGAAAGAAAATGAGAAGAAAACAATTCCCCAAAAGAAAGAAAGAAAACGAAAAACAACACACACAAGCGCAGTGGAAATGCACTTGAGAGTGGATTGCTTGGTGATGTTACTAGATCTTCGTTATTTTTCCGCAGGTCTTCTCAAATATCGAGAAGCTGAGTATATTTAATTTGATGAACTGTGGGGCTAGTGACGTGAAAATTGATAATGGCGCTGGGACTACAAATATAACAATTATTTGGACACTGGCTTACCCCTTATTTCATTGATAAAAGAGTCTTTAATTTCTTGTTACGCCTCTTCCAACATTAACCCTACGCCATGTGAAGCCTGGACTTGTATGACATTTAATTCTTTGAGCTTTTCAGTTTTGATAAAAGAATATTTCTTTTGTTGTGCTTGATCTGAACTTTCTGGTCCCTTGTGCAGGCTTGCCATACAAAGGCAGAGTATGAGGAATATGGAGCAAGCATATGCCGGACCAATCCAGTTTTCAAGGGGATGTACTGAACCCGAGATGAACCAGAGTTTTTTTGATGAGAATACTCAACCACAGTCTGGTTGAGTGTTCTTTCTTCCCAGGTGTATTCATATTGGCAGGAGTTGGTGTAAAATATGTACATTTAGTGAGAAAATGGGTAAATTCTCATGCCAATTGCTTTCCCGCGGCATATAGTTACAGATGGTCAATATGGTTGCTACCAGGCCCGTATGGTACAGATATGATAGAAAGCAATCTTCAGGAAAAAGTTTGGCTGAATTGCAATTTTTGGTGTTCAACTTAGAGTTTGATGTTATACATTTTTTCATTTGTTGGGACTGATAAATACCCTTCAAGTACTTTTCTAGGTAGGAAGTTCAATTCATTGGGATTGAGTTGTAAAACTAATAAGTACTAGTGCAGGGTTAGAAATATGTTCATGTGGAATCACTTATTTGCATTTTTTTGGTACATAATGTCTATCTGGATTTTGCTAAACGCTGATCAAAGTTCGAATCTTAAATATGTAGGACAGGTTCATCTATATTGTGATTTTTTTTTTTAAAATTTTGGGTAAAACTATATTGTGATTCATTTCTTAAGAGGTAATATGGAATCACTTTTGATTTTTAACACTTTGGAAATACTCTTTTGGTTCTCAATGTATGACTTGTTTAACAAATTTGATTAGATTAAACAAGTTGGTTAAATTAGTTGATTATATATTTTTCTAAAATATTCTTATTTATGATGGTTTTTGATTCAACTATTAATGTAAGTGAAGAGCCCATCACCTTGTTGTTGAGGGAGTATTAAAGACAAGGGGATTAGTCCATTTTGTTCGTTTCTGGTGCCTCATGGACTATGGTGCATGAGCCCAACATGCTAACTAATTAGCGTAGTTGTCAATTTCTATAAACACATGCTTTAAGGAAACGTAACGGAATAGCCATGCATGAGCAGGGCTCTCATATTGTCAAATAGTACTGATCACAGGATGACTTATTTGAGTATTTAGGTCCAAAGCTTCAGTTGAATTGATGCATGTGGCCTTTTTCTATTCTTGGGACTAGCAAATTTTAAGTCTCTTTACTAAAGGATTTGTAATCTAATGATATATTTTTCTTAAATGAAAAGTTACAATCCAATATCATTTGTAATTTTATTCTGTTAGTTTCTATCCCTTTAAATAATCCCTAGGGTTTAGGATTGTTTATGAGGCTCATTTGCTCACTACGCCTATACGAGTCCAAGAAAAATTGTCCAGTCCAACCGAGAAAAGGAACCTGAAAAATGGACATTTTTGGGTCAGGCTAATCACAGTCATGGGTGAGATATGGCACCCTGCCCAAAAAATTATATAATTATATATTTAATAAATAGTATTTCAGTCATTATTTTTCTCAAAAAATTATCTTTCCCTTATTCATTTCTTTGTAATTTATTTATCAATTCAACGCCAACTGTTATCAATTTTTTCTCTGCTAGGTGCTTTCGAAATTTTCAATTTCTATGTAATTTGATATATATTTTTGGCCGTTCCTAATATTTTTATCATTTTAAGCCAAAGTCATGCTTATAGAAATATAGCATATACCAGTAGATATGAAGCGCATGTTTAGATTAACGGTGACAAAACTGGTTTTTATTTTATTTGATTTTTGCAAATGTGAGTTAAGATAAAAATTAGTTAGTGTAATGTGATTTATGTTTGGGTTCACTTTTATAAAAATCAGTTTGATAGATTGAAATTTGTTTGGATAAATAATGAAAAAAATAAGTTTTAGATGAAAGTGATTGAAAGGGTATTGTTTTTCTTTAAACTAATTTGCTTGACTTATAAATTGATTTATAATTTGACGATATGTATAAATATTTTAGAGGGATCATATAACAAAAGATATAATTAAGTATTTATTTAGTTTTCATAATCTTTTCAAATTAGTCCACTGGATTTTATATTGAGGACCTGAGATAGTATGTAACATGTATATAATTTGATAAAATTAAGAAAAACAATAAATAAAAAATAATTAAATTATTACTAAAAAAATCAAATTATTTGATCAAGATAGGACTCAATTAAATATCTTTATCTTTCTTTTCATCTTGGACAAAAAACTCACCCAAACAATGGAAAAACTCCAACTCACCCATAAACCCCCATTTCATCAATTCCAATGCATGTTTCCTCCCTCCAATGGCAATCCAAACAGGTGCCAAGTATGACAAGATCTAGCCAAAAATTAAAAATATCAACGCTGTGAGCTTGTTTCGTGTTTGTTAGGTTAATGTAGTTTTTACCTTTTATGCATTATGCCAATGGCCAATATTGTTAGCATGTACTACCTCCAATCCTTAATATAAGATCTTATTTAAATTTTATTTTGGTCTTAAATATAAGATCCCAATCTACTTTGTCTCTCATATTTATATATTACTTCTCAAATTAGTCCTTCTAATAATGTTAGTTCTAGCGATACACTTAATTAGTAAGGATATTTTAGAAAAAATAATACATGTTTATTATAAATAACTAACTTAATTTCTTTCCTTAATCTATTCAAATTAGTCAACTAACTCTTATATTTAGGACCGGAGGTAGTACTTTGATATCAAAAGACCAGTTAGATTGATTAGAAAGAGAAAAAAAAAAAAGACGGCATCCTTTCATATGGAGATTGATGCAAACCACTTGGATTTCGAGACTTTAGTTACATTTATTGCCTTATTTGTAATAGATTATGGATATCATTTAATTATTAAAGTAAAGATATTTTTTAAGACATATGGTAATATTTTAAATTTCAAGATTCAAGTTATGCTTATTTTGAAATATTTCAAGGTATAAAATTATGGAATATATTTTTTTAGATATAGTTAGAGATTTTTTTCATATATGGTATAGGTAAGATTTAAGATGTCATCATTTGGATGAGACTGTTCACCCTTACACAACTCAAAATGGTTAGAGCTTCATAGGTAGGGTTGAGTATTTTTCGGTTTAGGCATTAGTAGTACTGGGAAAACGGCCGGCCCGGCTAGTCACGAGCTTGGATTTAAACTAGCTGGCCCGTTTAAGCTTGAGTCCCAAAAATAAACCATTTTTTAAAGCCTGGTCCGTGAGATGACGGGCTTGGACTGACATGCGAGCTTTTGGCCTTTTTAACTAAAATGCAATTTTTAAATTTTTTTTGCATATTTTATCGAAATAATAAAAATGAAACAATAAAATTACTAATAAAAGGTAAGGTATAAATATAAATAAAGTTGAGTCACAAACATAAACATCATCATGTCTAAACATATATCACAATGTAATAGAGTCTATTGAATAAACAAACTAAATAGATGACAGACATAAACAACTAAATAAGTACTAAGTTCAGTAAATAATTACAATGCGGATGATTTGGTTTAATTATAAATAATTAACAAAAAAGTTTAACTAACAAACATAGTATACATAAAAAATAATCATTTGTCCTACCGACAAAAAAAAGAATCTATCATCCTTAGTTCTAAATTTGTTTCTAACTATAAAAATAATACAGATCTTTATTTTAATTCAAAAGATTCTCTCATTAATTCTACTTTAGGTATAAAAAATATGGGAAAATGACAAATAAAGTCCGTGAAAATTACACATACAGTATTCTAAGATGTTTTGACAACTTATAAATAACAATACATTTTTGTGAATATACTTAGTTTTAAATTTTGCAATTTTCACATTTTTTGAGTTATTTTTCCAACAACTATAGTGATTCTTTTTTTTTTTTTGGGTGAATGCTATCTATGTGAGTGGCTAGAGTAAGTGAAACTAAGAGTATGCTATGTCGAAAATATTAGATTTTTTTTTCAAGTTAAGAAAAAAATATAGGAATTTTTTTAAAAAAAATTGGCGGGTTTAAACTGGCTGGCCTGTGGCCATTTTTTTAGCCTTACAAGGTTGTTCCTTTTAAACTCGACTTCCCTTTTAAGGCTTCAAAATATAAGCTCGGCTCTTAACTTAAACGGGCCGGCCTGATGGGCTCGGTTTGTTTTCCCAGCTCTAGCATTGGATAGGAAGCCTTGTCTTGCCTAACCCTACCAATAAATACTCCTACTAGGATTGCTTCCATTCCCTCCAAATTGAGATGTTTTGCCACTTTTTGATGTCATTTTCTGCACACAGTTATTCTAAATCCGTTCATTACACACGCAACAAAAGATTTGAACAATAGGGGTGGTGTCTGCATACTTTGAACTTTTCCTACCAAATTTTGATTCTTAAACCGCAAGGAAAATAGGGTATTTAGTATTCATTCTTTGCTAGTGTTTTTCTTCCCCAGGGAGCTTTTTTCTGAAAGTACTTGGATCAAATTTTATCATAACTCAAGTTCTTACAGTTTTCCATTACTAATTTTTAATCAACTTGTTGGCGAATTCGGCATTTTTTTTTTAAAGATAACTCACATTTATTATACTACTTATAGATCGTTTGATAAAAATTTGTGTCATTTAGCTTACAAGATTTCGTCAATAAATTTTTGCATTGATCTTTAGCCAACAAATTAGTAATATTTAACTCAACAAATGAGTGAAAGTATTTATTATTTGGTTGAAAAAAACAAAGCATTTATTATTTAATTAACTTGTCAAGCGATTTATTATTGGGTAAAAAACCAAGAACAGAAATGGTCGCGGCCGAAAAGGAGGCAGAGAGATTTTAGGGCTTTCCTTCTTTCAAAAACACAGCGCGAAACGCAGGAACAGTGAAGTACTTCTGAAAGCTTCTACACAGTTCGTCCCTCTCCGCACTGACCACCTGCTTTTCTCCAATCTTGATTCGGTGCATGATTTAGGTTTGAAGTCGCTTTGTGAAGAGTCGAAGGGATCGTCGTCTCCGAGAAATGGCGTTGGCCTTTGACGAGTTCGGAAGGCCCTTCATCATCCTGAAGGAGCAGGAGCAGAAGACTAGGTTGAGAGGTCTCGATGCTCAAAAAGCCAACATATCTGCTGGCAGGGCTGTTGCTCGTATTCTCAGAACCTCTCTTGGACCCAAAGGGATGGACAAGATGCTTCAGAGCCCTGACGGCGACTTAACGATCAGTTAGTTCCTCCCTTACCCTTTCTCTCCATTCAATTTCCTTGCACCATCCCCTTATACCTCGTATCCGACCAAAATTATAGCTTCCTTTTTCACTTCCTCATATTGGACAAAACCATGGTCTGTTTGCGTTTGGGTAGCAGATTTTGCTTTTCATTTTCGTGTCATATTTACTCTAGAGATCAATGAATTTTTCCAAATGGAACTGCTGGCATTATATATTATACTATTGGGTTAACTTAGAAATCGGGAAAAAAGGGAAGGCGTTTTCTATTTTTTTCCGAATGCCGGGGAAAAAGTGAAAACATGGGTTCGTTTAGATTTGGTAGAGCTTATGTGTGTTTCATAGATCGTGGTTCTTCGTAGATATTCACTGCGAAGTATTGAACTATAGAAGTGATATACTCGTTCTGGATGATTCTCGTCGTGGAAGTATTCAATGAAGGCTCTGAATGTGGGACTTGCTCTAGTTTCCAATTGTCAAAGCAAAGCAGCGGCTTGCTGTGTGCACAGATCGCCTAGTGTACCCGAGTTAAGGGTTCTTTACTTCTGGAGATTGGTACCTAGGCATCGGGGTGGATGATTGTACTTTGCAAACCGGCTTGAGTTCATTTTGGAATTGAATAATAAGAGATCTATGCCTTTTTTTAAGAAACATAACGTAGTTGCTTTCTGGCTCAAATGTCAAGTTGTTAAAACTTGTCATCTTAGTCGTCTGTGACTTCGATTCTCATTGCTAGGAGCCCATAACAACTTACACATCTTACCAATGATATTTTGTGGTTTCAGCAAATGATGGTGCAACAATCTTGGAGCAGATGGATGTTGATAATCAAATTGCAAAGTTGATGGTTGAACTATCTAGGAGCCAGGATTATGAAATTGGTGATGGCACCACTGGAGTTGTTGTGATGGCTGGAGCACTTCTTGAACAAGCAGAGAGGTTATTAGAACGTGGAATTCATCCAATTAGGATTGCGGAGGGTTATGAATTGGCGTCCAGAAATGCTGTTGAACATTTGGAGCGTATAGCACACAAGTTTGAATTTGGAGAGACAAATTTAGAGCGTCTCATTCAAACTTGCATGACTACTTTGTCTTCCAAAATGTATGTGCATTTTATATATTTTTTGATATATCATCATGGCTCGCTCCCCCCCCCCCCCCAAAAAAAAAAAAAAAAAACAGAAGTCCTGGGTGTGGTCTGTGATCTTTTATGTTGTTATTGTTCTCTATCTTGGTGCATCATGTTGTCAGGTCTTCTAGAACTTAGATCTACTACCATGTATTGATTTTGCTTTAGCATGTTGAAAGAGATTTGAGTTGTCCGAAGTACCATGTATATTTTTTAGTTTTTGAATGTGAATGAGCATCAAGACATTTATGGCATGTAAAGGGATATGGCACTATAACTGTTCTTTTATTTTTTTTTTTTTTTGGGGGGGGGTAGTTGTTTCCATTTTGAATAGGAGTCCTTTTAATAAAATTGTTGGAATTTTAAGAGATGGATTTGTGGCTTGAATATGATTTATACACATCAAAAGACAAAAGTATATAATAAAGGACTTGCATTCCATGTAGTCCTTGAAATGAAAACTTTTGATTAGATTTTTATAATGAACTTCAAAAGACAAAAGTATATACCTAATGCGGTGAAAGGGGGGGGGGGGGGAATCAATGGCCGTTGATCCCTCCCCCCCCGATGTATTGGTGAACTCATGTTTATATATTTATATCTTGTGATGGTAAACTTGTCCATCTTGGCATGGCAGTGTGAATCGTTGCAAACGTAGCTTGGCCGAGATTGCTGTCAAAGCTGTGCTTGCAGTTGCTGACTTGGACAGAAAGGATGTTAACTTGGATCTAATTAAAGTAGAAGGAAAAGTTGGGGGCAAATTGGAAGATACTGAATTAATATATGGAATCACCGTGGACAAGGAGATGAGCCATCCACAAATGCCAAAGCTAATTCAAGATGCCAAAATTGCCATCTTGACTTGTCCCTTTGAGCCTCCAAAGCCAAAGACCAAACATAAGGTTGATATTGATACTGTGGAGAAGTTCCAGACATTACGGAAGCAAGAACAGCAGTATTTTGATGACATGGTTCAAAAATGCAAGGTATGATTTTACTGAGTCTTGTATTTTTTTGCTATTGACAAAAAGCTTCCTCCTCTTACCAAATCTTTAACTTTCTTTTTATTAACTTTGTGGTTTGATTGCTCCTTTGTGTGACCTGGGGCTGATTAATTAAATTTTAAATTATTTTTTTCTTGTTTTAATAAACAAACTTGTTAATTGATAGTCAATGATATTTCTTACATTAATTTGTTTTTTAATTTACTGAACGGGGATGTCATGATGAGTTGCAGGATGCAGGAGCAACATTGGTTATCTGCCAATGGGGCTTTGATGATGAAGCAAATCACCTTTTGATGCACAGAAACTTGCCAGCTGTCAGATGGGTTGGTGGTGTAGAGTTGGAGCTGATAGCAATTGCTACTGGTTCGCATTACACTTCGCAGCTTTGAAAATTCCAATTATAATACAACTGTATTTTATATACTAATAATGATGTATTACAGTTGCGAAAATGTACTTCTAAGCTTGAGTTAAGGGATGATCTGTTTATACATGCAGGTGGAAGAATTGTGCCTAGATTCCAGGAGTTAACTCCTGAAAAGTTGGGAAAGGTATTTTGCCAATCTTTGTATAATTCTTTTTGGCAGGTCAAGACCAGCAAATCAATCCTTTCCTATATTTCATTTTTCCTGGTTTCACATCACTCGTTTCTATGTGATGGACTAAGTGGACTTTGTCTGGCTGATGCTTTTCATTGTAACATATTGAATACAATTCGTCCAATAAACTTGTTTAATGATTTTTTGAAATTACTTGTATATGCTATTAGAGTGTAGAGTATAGACCATGTTGGATACGATGTTGCTAAAAGACTCATTTTCTGTGTGCCTATAGCTGCAAGTGATATTAATTTGTTATTTTCTGTGTGCATATAACTGTAAGTGATATAATTTGTCATCGTATTTTATTTTTAAGGCTGGCATGGTCCGAGAAAAGTCATTTGGTACAACAAAAGACCGAATGCTGTACATTGAGCACTGTGCAAACTCAAGGGCTGTGACAATATTTATTCGTGGAGGTGAGGACGTATACTGTTTGTCCTATTTATGTCTTACTGCTTTTCACTAACCTCTTTGTTTGATGAGTAAGCTTGCATTTTACTTGTTTGGAAATGGATAATTTTCTAGCTCTGTTGTCCAGTGCGGTCCTTCCAGAATTTCTAATTTATTCATGGACTTTTAAAATTAAATTTAAGTAGTGGATTTGATTGTGAACTTATTAGTATTGTATTGCAATTTCGAATTTTGGTTTGGTGTGGTACTTTCTAATGATACACTTTTGAAGATGACTGATAAACGTTATGTATTAACCTATGACAAATTTATGAACTCTCTTATTTGGTAGGTAACAAAATGATCATAGAGGAGACAAAGCGCAGCCTTCATGATGCCTTATGTGTGGCTAGAAATCTCATTCGCAACAATTCTATTGTTTATGGTGGTGGGTCTGCTGAAATTTCATGCTCTATTGCTGTGGAGGCAGCTGCGGATAGATACCCTGGAGTAGAACAGGTATGAGTGGCATTATCGCCCGAGTCATTCATAACTCTTAATTCCTGACATTTTCTTTTTCTTTCCAGTATGCCATCCGAGCATTTGCGGATGCTTTGGATTCAGTCCCTATGGCCCTTGCTGAAAATAGTGGTCTCCAACCAATTGAAACACTTTCTGCTGTAAAATCTCTGCAAATAAAGGTAAATGCTGTCGCTCAGGCTTTTCTTTTGTACGCGCTTGAGGTACTATGCTTAATCCTGCCTTTAATCTGCAGGAGAACAATCCCCACTTGGGCATTGATTGCAATGACATTGGGACTAATGACATGTGCGAACAAAATGTGTTCGAAACCTTAATAGGAAAGCAGCAGCAGATCTTGCTTGCGACTCAAGTTGTTAAGATGATATTGAAAATTGATGATGTTATTTCACCATCTGAATACTAATGCCTGGGTGTAAGCTAGTTGCCCACGTTAAGATGCTGAGTAATTTGTTGGGCTAATTTAAGTTCATGGCGACAATGCACTAGTTCACCGGACAAAATGTGTATTTTAAAGATTTTGGAATGATTTTGTTGGGCTAGCTATATGGTTTGTTATTTGATTCTCATGTAAGTGATATATTTGAAGAGAAATTTTTTTTTTTTAACCTGAACTTTTCAAAGTTATAGTGTCCGGGGGAAAATGACCCAGTTCATTTTAGTGATGTACTTGAAAAGTTACGTACTTTTTATGTCACAGTATACTTAGATAAATGAACTTTTAGCAAAATGAAATCCAAACATACACTAGGACTTGAAAAGATAACATGTCTGATGCTACGGTTGTCAACATCTGTCAAAATCTCAATTATGTGTGACTCAGGACTCAATTGAAGAATGTCGTTTAAAGGACCCCAAATCAGCATAATCAAACGTGCTTCGAAATTTTGCAGTCATAAAATTTGTAAATTTGGTTGCAGAAGTGAAGGTAGTAACCCTAGTTTATTGCTGGTTCCTTGTCACTCAAGGTTTGAGATGTAACATGGCTGAAATCATTACTCAAGTTTGTTGCATATTAAATTAAATTTCTACCAAAAAAAGATATAAGTTATGAATAATATGACAATTTAAATTTTGTGTAATTAGCTATAAGACACATTTTGTAAGTCGCAAGTCCACTCTTGAGATGCCATAGATATAATAGCCCATAACATGGTTTTCCACCAAGGGAACTGAAGATTTCGGCGGAACCAAAAACAAGGGTAATTGCTTCATATTAGTACACTACATAACATACACGCTAACCAGCCTAGCAAGTCCTCCACTAGGTGTGTTGTGAAGGCCAAAACAGAGAAGTGAATCAGCAGAATGTGCCCTTTCTGCAATCAAGAGGTCCGGCTCCTGAGGTCATTGAACTCACAAACTCCGATGGTCTGGCAGCCAAGCTCAAGGTCTTGCTATACACAGAAGACGCTCCTAATTCCCCAGATGATCTGAAGAATGCCCCATTCAACATCAGATCTCCTTCCGACTTCCAATTCCATCTCTCCCACTCACTATGCGACGCCCCAAAGTGTTTTGTCACCTGAAAATATTCCTCATATTCATCATCACATTCTCAGTCCATACCCAGAAAATAAAAAAAAATAAACTCATATATGCGCACACACATTTGCCTGACCGCCAATGCTATGTGGGTTAGTGGCAAGTAAATTTCATGTAAGTAGGAGGTCACAAGATTGATATCATGATCTCAAGTCGTTAGTGGCTATCCCTTTTAACTTGGAAAAAAACAAAAAACAGAGAGATCAGATTTGTGTCCCACCTCTTTGTGTTCTCCATCATCTGGAGCAAGAAATCTGTTGCCTTGGCTGAAAATAGTGGGATTCGAGCTCCCTCCTATAGCGTATTCCTTCCAATGGGTGTAATCATTGTTCACCACATGAAAGTATCCAAACCTGCATCTGCAATTAATTTTCCATTATATCTCAGTCTTAAAACCAAGCAATCCAAATTAAAATGGGCTTGTCTTGTGATTTTATTGACATCCCAACACACATACATTACCTGGGCATTCTTCCTCCAAGCCCTTCTCCGAAATGATTGTAGGCGACGGTGACCTGCATATTCCGGTCCTTCTCATAGGAATCGCTGTGTCCCAGAAGCATAGCTTTTTCATGGTGGGTCATGTAATTGTTAGAAATGGTGATCGCCGTCGATCCATGAACCACATCAATCAACCCATCGTAGCACCTAGACAAGAAGCAATGGTCCACCCACACATGGCTCCCGCCGTAGATCGAAACCCCATCGCCGTCAGACCTCGAACTGAATGTATAACGACGGGGGGATAGCCTCACATACCCAGAGTTCCCTCGTACGCAGTCGTGGATGTGCAATCCGTGAATGATGATGTTGGTCTGTCGCCGTATTTTGATGCAAGGTCCTCCGGCGATGTGGACAGTGGCTCCTCGGCCGTCGATTGTTTTGTAGGAATTGACAAGGAGGTCCATCTTGAGCCTAATGCTCATATCCCTTTCGAAGATGATCCACAAGGGTTCTTCTTGGATGACGCCATATCGTAAACTTCCAGGTTTAGGGTTCATGGGGTTGTCGCTGGAGTCGGTGACGACGTATGTTCGGCCGTCTCTGCCTCCCACAGCGTGTCTGCCGAAGCCGATGGCGCAATCGGCGAGACGCCGGCGATTGTGGTGCCAGTTGGGATCGCATCTCCAACAGTCATCAATGGGGTTGCCTGTGCCACAAGACACGAAACCCAGATTTCTCCTCGACGCATTGGCGCTTCTGTGCAATCCATTTTGATTTTTGCAATGTGAATTGTCTTATTGTGAAAATGATACTTATATTTTTTTAATTTAAAATAAATTATATAAAAGACAAATATAATAAAATACTCCTTTGGTCCCTTACTGGGGAAAAAAAAAAAATCCCTTGAGCCATATTTTAAAAGTATTTTAGCATGTTTCACATTAAAAAAAAAATCTTAAACTGTATTAATTTTTTATTAAAATATAATAATTTTTTAATTTTATCCCTATTTAACATATACATCATTCAAAAAATAATTATCTACACTATAATAAATAAAGAATAAAATAATATATTTATTTTAAAAATTTAATGAAGTAACTTATAAATAGAATTAAGAAAACTTTTTTTCTGCCTTATAAATAAAAAAATATGAGTAATTCTAATTGTGTAGGTATAACAGATATCAAATAACACTTAGATCTCATTCTCCATTTGTCTCATGCAGACAAATAGTTGTAATTTCGTTTGATTAAAAAATAATTAAATGGAATGAAAAATTTCCAAGACGACAAGGTATGTGCAATCTTTCATTAAATTAAATATTACACATGTTTTTTTTTTCCACTTCTAATTATACAGTACATGCATTTCATGAAGTTATATTCACATATTATATCATAATAATATCAGATTACCAGATAAAAAACCATTTTATCATTCACTAACTACAAGTATAAAATACTTCTCCTCATTATTTTTCTATGCGCTCAGATTCCTAGATTTTATAGTCTCTAAAATGAATATTTTTTGGGTTATATCTACACACACACAGATGAAAAATGAAGAAGAAAACACATACTTGTCAACTTGTTGGATCACAAGCTCATCAGGATGTTGAAGTGGATGAGAAAATATGAGAGGAGGGGCAAGAAGAAGCAAGAAGGAGAATATAAAGAGCATATTAGAGGGACAATAGAAAGAGAGATATGAGATGAATTATGAATTAGCAGAGTCTGATGAAGTATAATGTAATTGGACTTAACTGTCATGCAAATGCAAGAGACGCTGAGCTTTATATATAAGCAGCAGGCACTCGGCTTTAATTTAATTTAATTAAACCAAAACCTCATAATTGTCCATGATTTAATTTAATTTGTAGTTTACCTAAAGGGACCTAGCGCCTAGGATCCCTCTCACAAATGCTTAATTAATTGAAGCAAATACTCTCTTCAGTTCTAATTATAAGACGAAGTTAATTAACTAACTCCATGGTTCTTGGGAAGTTATAGTTAGTTAGTATCATAATAAAGTGTTGTCTATATATAAAAGCATGCCAACAACTTGTTGCAATTAAGAAGGGGTAAGATTGAAAGAAAAAAATAATTTAACCACCACGTCTTTGTTTTATATTTAAGATCAAATAGGGCATTGCAATTTTGGTCCATAATTTGGATTATAGAGAGATAGTGATGCAGCCATATCCGATTAGTTTTAATTTATTTTCAAAATTTCATTTTGACTTATTTGAGTTTATCATTATTTAATTTTACGAGTTATTTGGATTTATCAGTATTTTAACATCTTTCATTCTTAGGATTAATTACTATTATTGTTATCTCATTTCTATGATAATTTAGAAATTAAGAAAAGTAATCACACATAATTAATTAGTAAGCAATTTATTAAATTTACCGTGAATCCAAAGTTGAGCCCTGAATTTTCTGTCTGTTGGTCCTCATGAAGGTGGCCATATATGGCATCCATTTGCGCATGCATGCAACATAATATTATATATATGCATAGATATAAATATAAACATTTATAAGGTAGGTTTTAATTTGCTGGTTATTATAATATAGATTAATAAATGATGATGATTGTATTTCACAGCCTTTGATTTAATTTGATGGCACGCATATATATACACGCATATTGGCGCAAACTATATAAATTAAACGTGATCGTCACTTATTGCTACTGTTGCTTTCGTGCAATATATGTACATGGCAACAGACAGTAGACTCATAATAAATACTCCAATCTATTTAATTTTGGTTGTATATATAACCCTCGTCGTGTGCCAGAGGCACGTAAAGTAGTGTGTATTTTGTTTTTCCAATTTTGAAATTTCTGTGGAATTTACGACAACTCTTGATGTAGAATTCTAGCCGTCTGTGTCTTCTTTAATTATATTATTAAAAATATTTTTTTTTCAAGCTAAACAGTAAAGGGTTACAACATGGATATATGACAAGCCAAGAAATAAAATTTTGGTCAAAATATTCCCAATTCACTCACCAAAATACCAACCGAATCTTTGGGAGAGACCGCCCTTGGAGTGATATGGGGGCACAATCTGAATAAATAGAATACAAGCATTTATGAGAAATGTATTATTTACCTCATACTTAATATATACAAGATTTACAATTTAGTCTTCTTCCTAACTGGTAAAAAATAAATACTACCACCTGTCCTAATTATAAAATTTATTTTGTAGACCAAAGGTAATATTATGTTACAAATTAGAGCTTAGTTAGGTGATAATTTAAGAATTAGAAAATAATGATATAGTTACATTGCTTAATATTTTAAAGTATTTTTCTCAATCAAATTAAGATATATGTGTATAACTTTTATCCCTAAACTACCCGGCCTATTTTCTGTTTTTTATGTTTCAAACTTTTTCTAAGTTGAAAATTCACTTGTTTTGATATGATTAAATGAAGTTCATTGAGTACGGTAGGGCTGTGCAAAAAACCTGTGATTTGGTACAACTCAGTCTGGTCCAAGTGAATGCAACTTAGTTGGGTCTCAAAAAACATTAGCCCAATGTAATAGAAGACCAACTAGACTAGATTGCCTTCTTTGGGCTAAATTGGATTGGTGACAGTCGAAATTGTAAAATAGTATGGCTCTCGAATATAAACAAGATAGCTAATGATACGATAACACTTGTCCATCCAAGGATTATTCTAGAGAACAAACAAATTCAATTACAAATGATATACACTAAACAAATATATTCAACTCGCTCTTTTACGTTGGACCTCCCTTGTCTTCCTCTTTTTCTTTTCATTAGTCATCTTCATCATTTGATTTCTTTTCATTGGTGTTACAGTAACTCCAAGTTTGTCTCTTAGGAACTAAAATCTAGCATGGTGTAGTGGCTTAGTAAGGCAATCTGCAATCTAAAATTCAGTTGGCACATATTGAACTTTCAGCGATTTTAACATGACCTGATCTCTTATGAAATGCACATCAATTTCAATGTGCTTTGTTCTAGCATGGTGCACTGGATTTGATGCCAACACAGCATCACTTGTGTTATTACACCATATAATGGGAATGCGCTTGATCTTCAACTTTAATTTAGAAATTAGTGACTTTATCTGGCACAACTCAGCAGCTATATTTGCTGGGATAGGTATTCAGATTCTATGCTTGATCTAGCTATCACTCTTTGCTTTTTGGATGACCAAGTGACAAGTGACTCTCCAATGAACACATAATAACCTCCAACAGAGTGCCTATCATCAGGGCAAGAAGCCCAATTTGCATTAGAGTAGGCAATTAGATTTAGGAATATTGAAGTTTTAATGTGTATGCCATGGTGTGTGGTTCCTCTTAGATAGTGCAACAATCTTTTTACTTCCTTCCAATGTTTTGTAGTTGGTTGTGACAAATACTGGCTTAGTTTGCCAACACTAAAGCTAATGTCTAGTTTGGTATTACAAAGATACTAAAGAGCTCTTACTGCACTTCTGTAATGTGAGGGATCAGATAGAGGTTCCCTAGAGTGAGCTGAAATGGACTTGTGAGCAGCCATGGGGATTTGATATGGAGTGGCATTACTCATTTGAAAGCTGTCCGGGAGGTCAGTAAGGTATTTCCCCTGTGTTAAGCATAGTCTAGTCTTGTTTTTGTATGCTTCAATTCTAAGAAAATAATGCAGAGGACCTAGATCTTTTAAGAAAAATATATTATGCAATTTTTTCATGAAGCATTTTATACCATAAGGGTTGCTTCTAGCGACCAAAATATCATTTACATATATTAGCATCATTAGAATTTGTGATTTATCTGAATAGATAAATGAAGAGACATCGCTCTTAGAATTGATAAAGCCCCAACTTAATAGAACACCTCTAAGTCTATCAAACCATGCTCTTGGGCCTGTTTTAAACCATAAAGAGCTTTCGAGAGCCTACACACATAGTTTGGTTTAGATAGACTCACAAAACCTTCAGGTTGCTACACGTAAATAGGTTCAAATAGAAAACCATTCAAGAAGGCATTGTTAATATCAAGTTACTTGACATCCTAATTTAATCATCAATAGTCATGACAATTCTAATTGTTGATGCTTTGATAACAGGGCTAAAAGTGTTATAAAAATCAATACCTTCTGTTTGTTGAAAGCCTTTGGCCATGAGTCTAGCCTTTCTCTTTGCAAGACTTCTATTGGAATTGAACTTAGGCTTGAATAACCATTTGTTTTCCAACACATTTGTAGCCTTTATACGAGCCACTATAGCTAAGAAAGACACACTAACGTGAATTCTACCAGTGGAACTAAGGCATTTATAGCCTTTATACGAGCCACTAGAGCCAAGGAAGACACACTTAGTGCTGTGGAATCAAAACTTGTTTTGATTGTAAGGATTAAGGCATGGGTAGCATACACACCCAAATACTTTAAACCCATTGTAATCAGGCTTCTTACTATAACAGGATTTAAAAGGTGAGATATTTTGAATACTATAGGAAGTCTACTAATAAGATAGACAGCAGTTGAGAAAGCATCCCACCAATAGTGCGCTAGCATTTTTGCTTGAGCAAGTAGGGTGAGTCACATTTCTGCTATATGTCTGTGCTTGCATTCTACTTTTCCATTTTGCGGAGATGTGTGTAGGCATGAGTGCCTGAAAATGATGCCATCTTCATAAAGTATGGACTGAAAACTTTTGAACTCTCCTCCCTAGTCAACTAAAAGGATCTTGATTTTTCTATCAAGTTGATTCTCAACCAAGTTTTTAAAATGCTTGAAAGCTGCTAGAGCTTCATTTTTGGTTTTTAATGGATAAACCCAAGTAAATCTACTGAAATCATCCAAAAAATTAATGTAATATCCCTATCCAGTAGTGAATTTTACTAGTAAAGGGCCCCATAAGTCAGTATATATCAAATCTAAAGGACGCAAAGTATGAGATTGAGAGTTCGGAAAAGGAAGCTTATGGGATTTGCCTAATTGACATGATTCACAAAAAGTAAATTCTTCATTAAACTTTAAATTGACATTAGAATCTTTAAGAACTCTTCTTAAGACATCTTTGTTTGGATGCCCAAGTCTCCTATGCTATGACTCTAAAACTATAAGAAAGATACTAGATTGACACTTCCCATCTAACTCATGCTGCTTTCGAGCCAAGACAAAATGTGCAACAGTAATACTTCTAGTAGGAACCACAGCATTGTCAATTCTGTATAAGCTGGGAGTTGAACCACGTGTTGTGACCCCTTGAAGTAGGACCTTATGGTGACTCTTGTCCTTCACAAAACACCCATGCGAGTGAATTTCAACAAACACATTTGCATTATCATTAGTAAATTTATAGCCACTAATCAGATTCTTAGCTATCTTTGGAGCAACTAGAACATCCTTTAATTCTAGAGCTTGAGAAGAGCTAGCACAAAGAAGTTTAGAGTTTCTAGTTTGCACAATATCTATAGATGCTCCATCACTGAATGAGAGAGAGTTTATACCTAGGTTCATAATGTTTGGCTCAACATTATTTGAATTGTGGATCACATGATGTGTTGCACCAGTGTCAAGATACCATGCTGGGTTTGTGGTAGTTTCAGGAGTTGCTATGTAAGGTGAAGCACCTTCATTCTTGCGGGGACCTTGATAGTTCTTATCATAATAATGCTAGCATTGTAGTATTTCATGCCTTGGCTTTTGATAGAGATGACAAAATTTGTCTGATGAGGATGAGGGTAGGGGCTTTCTTTCAACATTGTTACATCTACCTTTGCCTCGTCCCCTACATCCACCTCAACCTCTCTAATTATTGGATCGATTGGTAGGCTGAAATGATAAGTTAGCAAATGCAGTGAAAATATTATTCTTGAGTTCAAAAATCTCATTTAGGACATTATTTTTTCAGAAAATTATTGTTTATGTGGTAAGTTCTAGATTTCTATCCCAATTTCAAAAAATCATAACTTAATATAAAAAAATTGAAATGAAGTGGTTCAAAATTCTATTGAAAGCTCTTTCAAGAAAAAATAATATCATGAATCAACTCCTTTTGAGAAAGTGCCAAATTTTTGCGGAAGTTACCAATGTTACTTTAGTAAAAATCCTTTTTCCAGATTTCAAACCTTAAACTTGAAAATTCACCAAAAATTGCACAGTTGTCCATTTTTAATATGTTACCTATCAAATTGAAGCTTAGGATGTGATCTATATGCATACCGAGTTTCATGATAAAATTCATTTGGGAACCTAATCAAAACGTAGCTCCAAATTGACAGCCTACTTAGGGTTATAGCATCTATGTAACATAATTATACATAGCCAAAAGTCAAATAATTTTTATGGTTTAACACCATAAGCAACCTTGAATCTGCAGCTTTCCTTTGGATGATTCAGTCCCTAAAATGTTGGATTATTTTTGGGAGGGGTGAGATTTCAATGAAATCCCAGTATCAAGATTAATAACCACAACATCAAACATGCATCATCATTAAAGCATTTCAACATTAGCTATCATAGGATAACTAATCTTCTTATCAACAGGCAACCTCAACATGCAAGGCCATGGCAATAAATGTAAGGGGCAACCACATCACAATCATCATAGTTCAACCACATGATAGTAAGTATTCATGCCATAACAAACAATATAAGGTCAAAATTAGTAGTTAATTAAGTCCTACTACCTTGTTCCAATAGCTCTTTGATTCTTTGATCTTCTTCCTCTCCTCCACAAATATCAAACCCTAATATCACAATGCACAAAAGGGACAGTGACATTACCAACCAAACTATACAAAAATCAAAGGTAATATACAAGTAAACCCTTACCCCTTAAACTTTGAATTTTTTGGAGCTTTGTTTCTTTAAACCCTAAAAATTCTTTCTTAGTTCATTCCTATATGATTTTTCATGTAGATTCCAAATATGGGCTTAGATTAATGGGAAAAAAAAAATTTCTTCTTCAAAATCTATGGTCGGCCAAAAAATACCCCTAGTGAACCAACCATGAAAAACTTCCAAACAACAACTTAAACCACTTGAATCAACAATGATTTAAAGTGTTATAACAAGGTTTAACAAGAAAACTTCCTTCCCCTAACCTTTAATCAATTCGGCCAGCACACATTAAGGGGCAAGAATAGATTTTTCAACCATCAAACTCAAGAGAATTAAGCAAGAAGCAACATAGGACCATACACTAACCTTTACTCCAAGCTTATTTGACCAAAGGTGGTTGCTTTCTCCTTGCTTGAACTCAAGAATATGGATGGCAAGCTTCTTCTTTCTCTTGGCCAAATCAATGATCCAAAAATAGGGAGGAAGAGCTCTCTTTAATATCTAAAATATCCCAACCACCAACATTTAATGATATGCCAAGTGTCAAATACCTAAGCCTTCTTGAAATCTCTCTCCTAATTAAGTAAATCAAAATGTAATTAATCTCAAAAGTCAAGATCCTCTCTATTTAAGGCTTGACACTTGGAAACTTTAAATGCTCTCTATTAGGGGCTTGACAAGTAGCCAATTGTGGGCCAAATCAAGTGCAAGAATCTAGTCTTCACTTTATCGGTGCACTTTTACTCTAAGTTTAATTTCTTTTCTATAATTACAGTACTCTGACCTATGTAATTATTTTTTGTCAGATCCATAACTTATTCTTCTCATTTTTCTCTTCCCAAAATGCCCTCTTTAACTCAATCTCAATTTCCCATTAATTATATAAAAAGGAAAACTATTTTTCTTCTCATTAATGATTTTTCCACTTGTTAAAAGAATTAGGAAAAATGTTTCATATTTCAGGGTCTCTTTTTAATCCCATAATCTCATACAAATTTTTTTAGAATTTTATTCTCCTTAAAAATATTTATTTGGAATTTTTCAAATAAAAGGCCTTAAATTAGCCTAAATCACCCTTAAATTCTTTTCTAATTTTTCTATGGGTAATTTGGTCATCAAACCAATTATACATCTTCATATATTTTTCTCAAGAAATATTATCCTTATTATTCCTTAATTTTTTGAGACTTGAAAATATTTTTTCATAATTATTTTTGACTAATTTTCCTTAATTAGCTAAACTTTCATAATTGACTTGGAAAATCCTAGTAAATATTTTCCATCAAAATTCTTTTATTTCTTCTTATCCTTTTTGACCTTTAAATGCTTAGGAATATCTTACTTCTAAATATCAGATTACTGGATGTGACAGTTTGCAACTGCTCTATTCTTGACTCAAAAGTAAGTAGCTTGGACTGAAGTCAGCCCAACTTATGTTCTCCTTTTCAGACAATAACACCACTGTAGGTGTATATTCAGCATCCAGACCTGCAAGAGTGGGTAATAAGGTCAGAGAGCAATGAAGGGGAACCAGCCAATGTCAGATTATCTGATATAGTCTTCATCTTAGTGAGGTATTCTCACATCTTCAAGGACCCTTTCCTTGTGTGTTGGAATTCCCCTTTCAGAAAGGTAACTCACGACTTTGTATTTGCTCCAACATACTCTTTTACTGCTTTTCACAGTTTTGATGTAGTCTTAAATGGGTCATTTGAGAAGTGATCTCAACAATTATTGTGCTAAACAACCAACCAAGGAGTATTTGGTCTGTCGCCTTCCAGTCTTCAAAATCTGGGTTAGGATGGACTTGCTCTGCTGCTTTGAGTATGTATTCTGGAGGTACAACACTGGTACCCAGAAGATATCCTTCCAATCGGTATCCTTGTATAATGGGCATTATTGTTAATTCCCATGTGAGATAGTTATCTCCGTCCAACTTGACAGAGCCCACCTGATTCAAGGAGCTTAAAAGAGGAACAGGGCGTGATGCCAAGCTTGGCGACTGGTGAATAACAGAGTACAGTATCGATAGGATGAATTGTTTGCCAAAGTAGTATGGGTTTGGAATGAAGGGGTTGGAATTTGGAAGTGGTTCGGTTAAAGGGACTAAGTGAGAGCTTGAAGTAGAGACTAATGGTGAGGTAGAGGACAGTAGGTACGGGAAATGGTCGGTGAATATATTTAGAGGAAAGGGGAAAGTGAGAGGGAAAATATTGGGGCTAGGTGTGGAGAAAGTAAAAAGAACAAATGAGATAACTGCTGATGTTTCAGACAAAAACATGGAAGAATAGATAGTTGCAGTTTCAAACTTGCAATTGAAGATGGTCGCGACAGAATGGCGATCTGAGTCTTCTTCAACTTTCTTGTTCTTCCACTTCTCTTCTTCACATGAAGAAAATCCATAGTGAACATGCGTTATTATCGATGTCAACCTCGTCGATCTCAATCTCCCTTTTGCCATCACTTGATCTTTCTGCTATCAATTCTCCCTCCACTATTGATCTTAGTTTTAGAAGCAATAAAACGATCCCTTTATGTTTTTCTCTCCTCAAAGTTGATCCCTTTAGTTTTTGTCTTCATCCACATCATGTCGCTTGTGATCGGTCAATGTATTTTCCCTCTTGTTCTCTAATATGTTCAAGTGGGTTTGATGCAAATGAGAATTGAGAGATATTTTCGCTATTTACCCTAAAGCCTAAACCACAAAGGAAAAAAACAAAAAAATTTGATGTCTTATATTATCCGCGCCACAAGTCTGGTCTGACCCAATCTTGAGTTGATGTTAGAACAGACTTGACCAGACCAAACCTTAGGTTCGGCATCATCCCGATTTGGTTTGATCCATGCATAGCCTTAAAGTAGGGCATCGATTTTTCTCCCAAAAAAATTGATCAAATTGAATGATACTACAGTTATGGTTTAGGAGAACATTTTGTTGGGAGCAAGAATGGGAAAAAAATGATAACAGAAACGTGAATAATCTTTAATGAATAATTTTATGTGATATATTACCTTCAGTTCTTAATATAAAAACTAGTTTGACATTCAATTTGGTCCTAAATATAAGACTCCAATGTCTCTCATATTTATCTATTTTTTCTCAAGGTAATCCTTATAGTAGTTGCATATGTCAAATGTTTCATTAAATGGTAATTCTAATTATGACACATGATTAGTATGGGTATTTTCATAAGGTAATAGCTATTTATTATAAGTAATTAACTAAACTAATTTTCTTAAGAACGGGAGGTAGTATATTATGTAAAATAATGACATCTCTTGTTTCATTTTTGTATTTAATAATTTAATTAAAGGGTACGTAAAAGTGCATTTTTGCATATTTTCAGGGGAAATGTATTGTGCATGTGGACACAAACTTTGCATTGCAGACAATATGTTGTACTTTCTGGGCTTGTAGCCTCAAGTGTTCACCAAAGAGAGGAACTTAAATGTCATGCTATAACGATGGAATTAATGTCGTATTGTGTTTGAATCCTCCATTCTTCTCTCTTCCCTTTCATTGTTTTGGACCATTCATTTCTGTTGTACTTTTTGGTATTACAGCACATTCATGAGGCCCATTTTTTGTGCCATTTTATTCAAAAAAGGAAAATAAATGTCAAAACCCTCAACATTCCAATTATAGAAAAATGATCACATGCCTCTGAATCTCA